TATATTAGCAAGAGGCCAATACTACTCAAATAAATCTACAGATTCAATGCAATCCTTACTAAAATTCAATTTTTTAAAATTTAAAATGGAATAACTGATTCCCAAATTAATAGGGGATAGTTTGGGTATGCAAACAGCCAAAATAATCTTGCAAAAAAAGAATAAAGTTGGAGAACTTACACTTGCTAACATTTCCTCTGCCATCCTACTGTCTGTCTCCCCCTTTGTCTTTGGGTTTTCCTAGAGAATGATTAAATAAGATTTTGGACATGTGATTCTTTCAGTTCTAATCCTCTTAGTTATAATAGAGGAACCCTACTGATGTGGTGGTAAGGTGGGGAGGAGAAATATTATATAATCCTATAATAATGTCTCTGTCTTTTAGTTAGCCTTGGTGCTGAGGGTTTATCAATTGTTTCTTACGTTCTGCCCTCTCCACAAGGTAAAACATGAAGGCTAGGAGTGACTGGAGTTTCTGATGGATGTGCGGACACCGTGTACTGATTACCATGTTCTGATTTAGCTTAGAAGATGACTGGAGCCGGGTAATTTTTTCCTGTAGTTTGCTCATGCTCTGGATAAACTCAATGTGGTTAGATTCCGGTTAAATAGTTTTCCTTGAGGGCATTTTGTTGTTGTTGTTAAGGAGAACAGAATGCTCTAGGCATATTTTTAAAAGGCAATTTTTCTTTCTCCCTGCTGGCAAAAGGGAATTTTTCTTCATTGTTCACTCTACCCAGACCTGGTGGGGATCCTAGAGGTAAAATTCAGGAAGGTGTAGGAGCTACCACTAAAACTGGGACTCTGCAATTTTAAAATCTCAAATGTGTCAAGACTCAGCCTCCAGCAATTTGTCAATTACATTTTAAGTGTTTATACTCTGGTTTCAGTGGTAGGCTTCTACTTCTGAGTCTCTGCTCTGGTAATCTGTGATATTTTGTATTCACCTATATTTCCAATTCTATAGCACTGATTTGCCTGGTGACCTAAATTCTCTAATGCATCAAAGAAGAGTTACTGACTTTCAGTTTATTCAAGTTTTTTTCTTCATGATGATGAGCCCAGTATACATTACCTATTCAATGCTATCCCTCCCCTTACCAACCCCAACAGGCTCCAGTATGTGTTGTTCCCCTCCCTGTGTCCATGTGTTCTCATTGTTCAGCTCCCACTTGTAAGTGAAAACATGAGGTGTTTGTTTTTCTACTCCTGTTAGTTTGCTGGGGATAATGGCTTCCAGCTCCATCCATGACCCGCAGAGAATATGATCACATTCCTTTTTATGGCTGCATTGTATTCCATGGTATATATATAAGACAATTTCTTTATCCATTTTACCATATTTTTGCTGTTGTGAATAGTGCTGCAATGAACATATGCATGCATGTATCTTTACAACAGAATGATTTGTATTCATTTGGGTATATGCTCTGTAGTGGGATTGCTGGGTCAAATGGTATTTCTGGTTCTAGGTCTTTGAGGAATTGTCACACCGTCTTTCACAATGTTTGACCAAATTTACATTCCCACCAACAGTGTAAAAGCATTTCTATTTCTCCACAGCTTCACCAGCATCTTTTGTTTCTTGACTTTTCAATAATCACCATTCTGGCTGGTATGAGATGGTACCTCACTGTGGTTTTGATTTGCGTTTCTGTAATGGTCAGTGATGTTGAGCTTTTTTCACGTTTGTTGGTCTCATGAGTGTCTTCTTTAGAGAAGTGTCTGTTCATGTCCTTTGACCACTTTTTAATGGGGCCATTTGTTTTTTCTTGTAAATTTGTTTAAGTTCCTTGCTGAACAATATTAATCACTTCAGTTAACAGTGAATATTTTTGTAAGATCATTAGCTTCAATATGAATTAAGGGACATTGATAATTCATTTGACCAGAAGCATTTTTCATCCTATCTCTAGCTTGCTAGGATGTCCATGTTAGTCATTTCTATAAGCAAAGTCACTGGAAATATTTTTAAGACAACATTCTATTATCATTACTTTATCAAATTAGATATTCAACCAACCCATTTCTGAAGGGACATGAGATGAGGTAAGTTTTTAAGAGTGAGAAAAGGGACAGAAAATGGAAATATTCAAAACAAGGACAGGCTTATGGGATTCTGTCATCAGGAGAAAGCATGAGGATCCTGGATAGCCAGACATGGGGGTACATAATGAAACTTAGAAAAACAGTTGCCAACTTTGTATTTTTCTGATATTGGCTGCATTTTTTATATCATCTATTTTTTCAGTAACGCATTACTCAAGTTATCTTTTATACCTGGCTTTACTTGATTTTCAAAACTGTATATTTCCCCCTTCATCTCCATAACCCAGGTCACACACAGCCTTATGTTTAATTACGTATATTTTCTCTCCCCATTCTAGATTGTAAGCTATTTCAAGAGCAATCAGGTGATTGACTCTAGGCTGAAAGTGGCTAAAACGTGCTCTGGAGCTGAGTTGCATCATAACCAACTGAGGAACTCCTTATTCATAGATTCCTGGGCTTATCCCAGATCACCCATGTATAGCTAGAATTTTTTATGCTAACATAACCTTGGCACATGATTACATGGGGACAACAACAGAAAATTAGCTTTAATAACAAGATGTATAGTTAACTTTTAGTCACACTAAAATTTCAGAAGCCCTTATCTGGAGAAACTGGCTGGGAAATGCTTGCTGATCAATAAAAATGATACATTTTTGCAGCAACTTCTTTAATTTCTGCGGCCAGTAATCTTTTTCTTTTTAGCTTTGAGCAAAGAGTAAGTGAAGTTTGTCTTGAAACCCTGTTCTTTCCTCTCTTTTTATATCCCTGGCATTTCTGCCCAAATACCGTTGATTACGGACCCCAATTTTTTTTTTCTCAAACTGATCTAGTGATCAACTGATATCTATGTTGTTAATTGACACATTTTAATTTTATTTATTTATTTTCAGAGACCAAGTATTCCTTTGTCATCTAGGCTAGAGTTCAGTGGCAAGATCATATATTGTTGCCGCCTTGAACTTCTGGGCTCAAGGGGTTCTCCCATCTCAGCTTCCAGAGTAGCTGGGGCTACTGAAGTGTTCCACAGTGTCTTGATAATTTTTAATACATTTTATATAGTGACAGGGGCTTGCTATCTTGCCCTGCTAATCTTGCACTTCTGGGATCAATTGATATTCCCACCTCAGCTTCCCAAAGCATTTGGATTATACATGTGAGAATTACTGCTCTTGGCCTACTTTTCAATTTCAAAAGGCTTAATTTTTATGGACAATAAGCCTTTAAATCCAAACAGGATAATTCTATAAATGAGAAATTATAGATTTTATGATAGGCAATGAGAGAAATATTAGGGTGGTAGGGGCTCTTTCTGGCACATCTCTGTTTGGTCATCACACTGTTTAGATATATATTCAGCCTATTCCCAAATGTAGCCCTGCTCATTTTTTGCAGCCACTTCTGCACAATATGCCTTATAAATTAGAAGAGGTGACAGGCATTTTTTAAAAAAGAAGATTTGGGAGCTCTAAATATGCTGGACTGTATGATTCATGAGTTTCCCTCAAATTCAGTGATTAAAAATATTCTATATTTTTTTTTTCAGATGTTTTCCTCGTGGGCTCAGAAATTTCAAGTACAATTGAGAAGAACAGAAAAGGCAAAAGGGTTTCACATATCTCAAATTCTAGATTTGCATACCTGCACAAACATAAAACTAACAAGACAAATGAAAGAGGCATCAAACAGACTATTTTGAAGGCTATTTCAGCAATATATTATGGTAAGGATCTATAGCAGTACAAGGTAATTCAGATAAATTTAAGACTATTCAGATGCCGATAAACATAAAATTATCAATTCAGTAGAGATCCATTTCACTTTATTTAGTAATGTTAACCGGTACTCCTAAACCTAAAATATAACCTTTTCAGTTCTCTTTGCAAATGTTATTCTTTGCTGATAGCATTAAAACCATTTTAATAGGGCTATTACTTAGGGTGTTAAAAATTCCTCAGAAGGAATTTCTGTTAAGTTATACTATCTTTATTATTTAATTTTTTTTCAACCAAACTTCTTTTATTAATGTATTGCAGAGACTGGAAGGATTAGAGATGGGAATAATACATTAAAACCTTTATTTGGAGTTTACATGTGAAAACCAACTCAAAGCTATGGGTCTTTATTTCATGAATGATTGAATCATTGTTATATTAATTTAATAATTAAGATATTCATTTAACTTAGCTTACTTCATCTTCTTACTTACCGTACATTAACCCAGGAAAGTACAAATAACATGAACTCTTAGTAAGATGGTAAGCTGGTAGTAGGTAATTAAAACTTCTAAGATATCAATTTAGTTTCTTCACTAGAAATGCATTTTTTGCTCAGATATTTGGCACCCAAACATTTCAACATAAACACATAGACTCACAACCATATGTAATACATGTATTGCTTACCTCAGTCAAATGTGGTGTAGGGTTAAATCCACAGAGATTACACACTTGATTCTTGCATTCACTGCAAGTATTGAAGTTAGGAGGATCTGTAGAACCTATGTTGAGTTCAGTTTTGCAGAGAGAACAGGTTGATTCTGGTTTGGGAGATATCTCCAGTTTTGTGGGAAGGACAGCCTTTTGAGGCTCAGCTGTTAAAGATTTGCTATCCTTAACAGGTGATGGCTTTTTATCTGTTTCTGTTCGTTTTACTGTTGGAGCTTGTTCAGCTTTGGGCTCTAATTTTTCAGCTGCTGGGGCTTTTGTTTCCTTTTTCACAGGTATATTCTTTGCAGGTGCTGGTGGTGCTTGACCTGTGGATTTGGGTGGCCCTTGCGAAGTAGGTGGCTGTGAAGGGACAGGGGCTTGTTTCGTTGGTGCCCCTGGTCCACTTTGTGAATGAGGTCCAGATTGGCCTGCAGTAGAAATTAAATTTGATGCCTGGCTGAAGATTGATGCTCCAAACCCAAAGAGTTTCCCAGTCATGGTCTCTTGAGGAGTTGTAGGCTATGATTTGGGGGCATCAGCAATACTTCCCAGATTCAAACTGAAATGTCTTGATTGCTCCTGAGGCTTTGGGGGATGTTGAGGTGTGGGGACAGTTTGGCCAGCGGTTGGTCGCGGGCCCCGGGGGGGTGTTGGTGACCCTTTTGGCATTGGCTTGGCATCTGGTTTAGGAGTTATTTTGGTTTGTGCTTTCTTGGGTTCTTCCTTCTTTTGAACTGGGTCAACTTGTTTTTGACCTTTGCTCTCTGAACTAGGCCTAGGATGTGAAATAATTTTTGAATCTGATGCAGGTCGAGTTATGGCTTTAGAGTCAACTGGGGTGACTTTTTCCCCTGTTTGTGGAAAACTTTGTGAGGGTTTGGCAGAGTCTGTTTTTAGAGGAGGAGTTGTTTTCTCTTCAGCTTGTGACTGTACTTTGGAGCTTGGAATATCAGGTTTTGCTGTTGCTGATGATGAAGATACAAGGTCTGTGGATGGCTTTACCATCTTGGGCTGCTTTGGTTTATCATCAGCGACAGAGGCCTTGTCCTGCTCAGATGGGACAGAAGGTTCTTCGGGAGAGGCTGGCTTAGGCGAAGAATCTGCCTCAGGAGGCTGCTTGGCCTTGGCTGAAGGAAAGCCATGAAGGGTTGGCTGTTTCACTAGTGGTGGTGGCTTTTTAGGCTCAGGTGCCTTGGAGACATCCTGTTTTGGGGCAGCATCCTTCTTTGGGGATGTCTGCTGTGACTGTGGGGATGATTTGCTCACTGCTGATGTCGGAGTAACAGGTGCAGTCTTCGGTTTGGGATGGGGTGATGATGGAGCTGGAGCCAGATCCCCGCCTAGAGCTCTTTTCATCTGACAGTTCAAACAGAGCCACTCTTTTACAAACTCCGTTAAATGAGGATTGGGATTAAATCCAAAGAGGCTACAGACAGTGGTTTGACACTCACTGCATTTGTTAAAATTGGCCTTTTCTGGAACATGCAACAGAAGTTCAGTGGTATTGCAAAGAGGACAGATGGTTTTAGGGAGGCCTTGTGATGGAGGCTGTTTGGCAGATGGAGACATTGTTGGTGGCGGCAGAGGTTTTGCAGATCCTGTTTGGCTTACTGGTTTTGTAGATTGCTGAGCCGAGGGCTTTGCTGGGCTCGGTTGTTGAGCTGAGGGTTTAGCTGAGCCAGGCTGTTGAGATGGGAGTTTTGCTGAGCCAGGCTGTTGAGGCAGGGGCTTTGCTGAGCCAGGCTGTTGAGGTGGGGGCTTTCCTGGGCCAGGAAGTTGTGAAGGAGGCTTTGTTGGGCCAGTCTGCTGGGCAGAAGGCTTTGCTGGTCCTGCCTGTTGAGCTGGCGTCTTTCCTGGCCCAGGCTGCTGTACTGGAGTCTTTGCAGGCCCAGGTGCCTTAGCTGGAGACTGTAGCCCAGGTTGTTGAGCTACAGGTTTTGGTGTCCCCACCTGCTGGGTTGGAGGCTTTGCTGGCCCTGGCTGCTGAGCTGGAGTCTTTCCAACTCCAGGAGGCTGAGCTAGAGCCTTTGGCCCAGGTTGCTCCAATGAAGGCTTCTCTGACCTAGTCTGCTGAGCTGGAGGTTTAGAAGGACCAAGGGGCTGAGCCGGAGGCTTTGTTGTTCATGGTGGCTGGACTGGGGGTTTCACTGTCCCTGGTTGTTGAGCCAGTGGCTTTGTTAGCCCTGGAGGCTGAGCTGGAGGCTTTGCAGGCCCAGGCTGTGATTTTTCAGGCCCAGGCTGCTGTGCTGGAGGTTTTCTAGGACTTGGTTGCTGAATAGGTGGTTTGGATGGGCTTTGCAGTGAGGGTTTAACTGATTCTCCCCTTACTATGTCTGCCTGTTTAGTCTGAGGCCTGGATGCATCTCGTTGAAGTGACAATTTTGCCTGGTCTGTCTGAGGAGTCTGGGCAGGACCCTGAATTGGCTTTCCTGTACCTTGAGGTTGTGATTTAATTTTTTTGTGGTTGCTGATAAGATACCGATTTGGGAGGGCCATCCTGCTGAAGTGGATCCTTACCAGGTCCTTGCTGCTTAGGAACTGGCTTGGGTGACTGTTGTTGTGAAGGGGGTTTTGTGATTCCCTCAGGTTTTCCTTGCTCCTTCTGAACTACATTTTGTTTCTTGGTGGTTTCTTCCTGGGATGTCTCAGAGTCTGATATCAAATCAAAAGAGTTGAATTTATTTACAACAGAGGAGACAGCACTTAAAGGGTTAACCTCTGAGAGGAAGCCAGGCATCATACTAGACTTGTGCTCTTCCTTAAAATCAGTTCTGGACTTTGATTCTTTCAAGCTAATGGTGGAAGGACTCCTCCCAGGCAATTTCTGTCTGACCTGAAAGTATCTGTAGTTCTACTTTTACTGAGACCAGGCTGAGCTGGACGCCCAGGGTCTGGGGGTCTTCCTGATTGCTTTGGAGAATGACTACTATCCAACTCTTGCCTTTGACATGACAGCGGCGTTCTGTCTCCTCTCCTCTTTGCTCAGCTGGCTCAAATCTGCCTCCATGCCGGCCGGGATCACTGTGTGCGAGGGACTCCCCGCCCCTCTAGCCCCTCCTCCGGCCGGTGCGGCCGCCGCCAGCCCTTCGGAGACCCCTTCCCCTTCCAAGCTCGCCTCGCTGCCCATGGCTCTGGGAGACGTGGAGCCGCCGCGCTCCCTCCTCGCGCCGCTTCCCAGTCGGGAAGCCCGCGGCCAGCGGAGGAGTCAGAGCCGGGGTCCGCCTCGGGGCGTGCAGGCGGCCGCGTCCCTGGGCTCCGGACCGGGCACTGCTGCCCGTGGAACGACAAGCGGAGGGTTAGTCCCGCTCGCAGGTGACGCCCGCTGCCGGTGCCTCCTCCATGTTTGACAGTGCCAGGCAACCTTTGCAGGAGACGTCTCCCGGACGCTGCCTCGGCTATTATTTAATTTTAAACCCTGAATATTTTCTCCCTCCACCCTGTTACATTGCAGAATTTCTCTCTCTTCCTTCCTTTTCTCTTTCTTTCTCTCTTTCTTTCTCTCACTCTTTCTTTCTTTCTCTCTCTCTCTCTTTCTTTCTTTCTTTCATGATCTTCAGTTCTTTAGCATATTGACGTTTGCCTTTAGGCTTGTCTCTTTAGAATTACAGAATAGCTGCTGCAGTTGGAAATATCACATTGTCCTCATTACCATTCTTAAGAAGGAGAATGGCTTTCTCAAAAGCTAACTGGGTGGAATTTTCTTTGTGGTTCATTGGCCATGACTTTGCCAATGAATATCAAAAGAAGATAAAAGTACTGTGATTTTCTTAAACTTACCAATATTCATCTCCTGGGATGTGGAGAAGGCACAGCCTCCTTCTTAAAGCACATGGCAGTCCAGAACCTGACCAAAATCAGGGCTATGTTACTAAGGAGTGTACAGGGTTGGGTAGGATAGAAAATGGCTGTTGTGAGAGAAAAATATCAGCAATAGAGAGTTTAAATAAGGTATATTGGAAAAAAGCCTCAAGTCTCTGCTTTTCAACAAATAGCTGTTTGACATTAAGTATTTTCCTCAGTTTTCTCTTCAGTAAATAAGAGAGTTTGACTAAATCAGTGGTATTAAGTGGTAACTGGCATAACAACTCATAGGGAAATAACCGAAGTACCTTGGAGAGTTTTTCAAAACGCATACCCAAATACTATTCCTTTTCAGAATCATGAATTCTGAGACCCTTCTACCAAAATAAAGATTTTTTTTTCTTTTTTTTGGCTGGGTGTGGTGGCTCATGCTTGTTATCCCAGCACTTCTGTTGTTTTTTAGCCTCCTTAAACCTAGAGGAAAAGGAAGTACTTGTGGAGGAAGGAGCTTAGACTTTAAAAGACTGGGTTTAAACCTAAGATCTAACATTTCATTAATGGAGTTACCTAAGGAAAGTCTTATTTTTTCTGTGTTGATTAGGATAACAACATTTTTACCTCATGGTGCTTTTATGGAGAATAGGTAAAATAATATATAGAAAAGCATTATAGATGTGCTGCTTGTCATAATTTTCATCTTAAAACCAAGAAAATCTATTATGTATTAGCAATAAGAGGACAACAGTACTTGAAATTGTACAGAATTTTTAAAATTGATATATTCGTACATATTTTAGTGGTACATGTGATAATTTTATATACAATGTGTAATGATCAAATCAAGATAATTGGACAACTTCAAATTGTAGCATAAGGCTATAGTGACCAAAACACCATAGTACTGGTATAAATGCAGATACATAGGCAAATGGAACAGAATAGAGAACCAAGAAATAAAGCTGTACACCCACAACCAACTGATATTTGAAGAGGTACACAAAAACATAAATTGGGGAAAGAACACTATTAAATAAGTGGTGCTGGAAAAATTGGATAACCACATGCAGAAGAATGAAACTGGATCTCTGTCTCTCACCATATACAAAAATTAACTCAAGATGGATTAACGACCTAAATCTAAGACCTGAAACCATAAATATTATAGAAGAAAACCTAGGAAAACTCTTCTGGACATTAGCCTAGGCAAAAAATTTACGACTAAGACCCAAAAGCAGATGCAACTAAAACAAAAATAAATAAATGAGACCAAGGAAACGAATTAAAGCTTCTGCACAGCAAAGAAAATAATCATCAGAATAAACAGACAAACTATAGAAAATATTTTATAAATTATACATCTGATTAAGGGCTAACATAAAGATTCTGTAAGGAGTGCAAACAAATAAGCAAGAACAAAACAAATAACTTCATTATAAAGAGGGCAAAGGGCATGAATAGACATTTCTCAAAAGAAGATATGCAAATGATCAATGAACGTATAAAAAAAAGATTAACATCACTATCATCATGGAAATGCAAATTAAAGCCACAATGAGATATTTTATCCCAGTCAGTATGGTCATTGTTAAAAATCCAGAAAACCAATAGATACTGGCATGGATGTGGTGAAAAAGAAATGCTTATACACTGCCATTGGGAATGTAAATTAGTATTCCCTCTATAGAAAACAGTAAGGAGATTTCTCAAAGAACTAAATGTAAATCTGCCATTCAGTTCAGCAATCCAATCACTGAGTACCTACTTAAAAGGGGAAGAAGTCATTATATCAAAAAGACACCTGCATGCATATGTTTATTGCAGCAAAATTTACAATTGCAAAGATACGGAATCAACCTAAGTGCCCATCAACCAATGAGTAGATAAAGAAAAATGTGTGTGTGTGTGTGTGTGTGTGTGTGTGTGTGTGTGTGTGCGCGCGCGCGCATACGTGTGTATGTGTATACTACAGGATACTACTCAACCATAGAAAAGAATGAAATAATGTATTTTGCAGCAACTTGGAAGGAGCCAGAGGCCATTATTCTAAGTGAAATAACTCAGGCATTGAAAACAAAATAACACATGTTCTCACCTATAAGTGGGAGCTAAGCTACTAAGCTGTGGTACACAAAGGCATGCAGAGTGGTTGGTATAATGGACACTGAAGAATCAGAGGTGTGGAAGATGAGAGAGAGGTGAGGGATTATAGACTAACTATTGGGTGTGATATACACTACTTGGGTCATGGGTATACTAAAATCTTCTTTACCACTATACAATTCATCCGTGTAACCAAAACCCATTTGTACCTAAAGCTATTGAAATAAAAAATAAAATATAAAAAAGGAAAATAAAAGCACAGTTCAACATAAAACAATAAGTAAATCAAGTAAATAAAATCCTGATTCAACTTTGAACAAAAATCAGAATATTTAGGATGTCTATCACCCCAAACTTTTTTCTTTCCATAGGGAACATTACAATTCTCTTCTAGTTATTTTGAAATATACATTATTGTTAACTATAATTTCCTTACTGTACTATTAAATATTAGAATTTATTCCTTCCATCTAAATGTATTTTCGTACCCATTGACCAATTTCTCTTTATCCACCACTCCCCCATTCCCTTCCCCTCCTCTACTAACCACGATTCTACTCTTTACCTCCGTGACATTCACTTTTTTTAGCTCCCACATATGAGTGAAAACATGCAATATTTGTCTGTGTCTCGCTTATTACACTTAAAATAATGATTTCCAGCTTCATCCATGTTGTTGCAAATTAAAGTATTTTTTTTTATGGCTGAATAATATTTTATTATGAATATATACCATATTTCTATCTATTTATTTATTAATGAACACTTAGGTTGATTCCGTATCTTCGTTATTGTGAGTAGTGCTTCAATAAAAGAGAGTGCAAATATCTCTTCAATATGCTGATATAATTTCTTTTTGGATATATACCTATCTGTGAGATTGCTGGATCATACGGTAGTTCTGTTTTTGGTTTTATGAGGAAACTTCATATTGTTTTTTACAACAGCTGTGTTATTCTACATTTCCATTGACAGTGTACAAATACTCCCCCTTTTTTTGAATCCTCACCAGCGTTTGCTTTCTTTTGTCTTTTTGATAATAGCCATTTCAGTTGGGGTGAAATAACATTTCACTGTAGTTTTGACTTGAATTTTCCTGATGATTAGTGATGTTCAGCAATTTAAAAATACATCTGTTGTTCATTGGTACACCTTCTTTGGAGAAGTGTCTATTCTATTTATTTTCCCATTTTAAAGTTGGACTATTGTGGTTTTGTTATTGAGTTGGCTTGAGTTCCTTATATATTCTGGTTTTTGTCCCTTTTCAGATGGGTAGTTTTCAAATATTTTCTCCCATGTTGTTGTTTGTCACTTCACCTTGTTGATGTCTCATTTGCTGAGCAAAAGCGTTTTAGCTTTTAGCTCCATGTAATCTCTCTCATGTGTTCATTTTTGCTTTTACTGGATGAGCTTTTGAGGTATTATTCAACAAATCTTTGCCCAGTGTAATGTTCTGTTACCTTTCTCCAATGTTTTCTCTTAATACTTTCATAGTTTCCGGTATTACATTTAAGTCTTTAATCCATTTTGAGTTGATCTTTGTCTAAGGTAAAGGATGGGGGCATAATTTCATTCTGCTAAGTATGGATATCCAGTTTTCCCATCACCATTTACTAAAGAGACTGTCTTTCCCCAATGTGTGTCCCTAGCACCTTTATTGAAAATGAGTTGGGTGTAAATGTGTGGATTTAGTTCTGGGTTATTTATTCTGTTCTGTTGCTCTGTAAGTTTGTTTTTTTTGCCAGACATAAAGCCAACCCTTTTGGTTACTGATTTAATTTGTATAAAAAGTTCAAATTTTTAAGTAATATAATAATACATATTTGAATATTGATCCAGTTCCCAAATGATACAATTAAATGTTTTATTCAAAGAGATAAACTGTTATAGCTTTAAAACATTGGATTTAGAGTCAGATTGTCTAGGTTGATATCTTTGATTTCCCCCTTATTATCTAGGGGATTGTGGGCAAATAGCTTAATTTCTGTTTTCACAGGCTCTTTTTGAGAATTAAAAAAGTTAATAATTATAAAGGACTTTAGAACAATACATGGCATATTATGAGCATTCATCAAATGATAATATGTATTTGTCTATTACTTTATTTATATGAAAATGGCTGTAAGAATGTAGCTAAACAAAATATAAGAACAATACATTTTAAAGCATCCCGACATTCAAGGGAATAGTCAGTGTATTCATAGTTATAGATGAAAGATAAGAATT